ATATATATATTTATATATATATATATTTATATATATATATTTATATATATATAATTTATATATATATATAATTATATTTATATATATATTATATATATATATATATATATATATATATATCATATATATTTATATATGTGTATACGTATTTTCCTGTTTATAAATATGTACATATATTATTCATATATGTTTTCTTTTGTTTTTATCTTTTATGGCCATTTGGAGGTTATTACAATTCTGTAATCCTCTTGTGCTAAAGAAGATTCTGTAAATTTTTTGAGGTCTCTCAGTATAACACTAACCCCTATTTGGAATGTTTCGCTTGTACTTTTTATTTATAAATCACCTGAGTATACTGTTGTTTATATTAGTTTTTAATGATGTCCTAATTTTTTTATCCCCTAGATTTTTATTTATATATTTTTTTTAGTAGATGGTGCTAATATTGTGAAACATGTTAATGTACATAATGGTATGCCAGCCTTAATGTGATAATTTTACTTCCTTTATTTTAACCTGGTTGCATTAGCCAAGGCTGTAATGTATGAGCTATGAAGATGGGGTCCTGCATATATTCTTCAGAAATTTAGTGTGGCTAGGGCATGTCTGTGTACTTTTTCCCTGTCCTTGCTTCCCTTTCACATATAGTATGGAGAATTTTTATGAAAATGCTGATGTTTGGGAATTTGTCACAAGAATGTAGGGTTAAACTAAAGCGAAGTCATACAGACAGGCTCCAACCACAGCTACTGTGAAGAGAACAAGCTATAACCTGTCTTAAAAATCATGCCCTGGACTACTGCATTAAGAAGGCTACTCTTGCCTTAAAAAGAAGACTGTAAATAAAAATATCTTTTGATCAAGAAAGACCTGTGGCCATAGTATAAAACAAATAAAAGGATGTAGAGAGAGTGGGTACTACTACTACTAAGAAAAGAAAAGAGAAGAAAAAAGAAAAACAATAATAATAATAATAGAGGCCCAGTCCCTTCACATTAAATTTTATAATTTGGTCTGGAATATTTAGAAATTATAGCCTACAGACCTTCTGGACTTTGTCCACTGTTAAGCCACACCTCTGCACTGCCTCCCTGACTGGCTGCAGAAAGCTCGAGAGAGCTGAGGAGACTATGCCGTCAAATCGTGCCCGAGAGAGAGTTGTGGAGAAGTCAACACCCTCCCATAGAGATTCAACATAGACCTGAAAAGCAAGGTCCAAAGGAGTCATTTTCTCTGTAAGTATAAAGGAATAAATCACAGAATGTAGATTTGGTGGGCTTACAAAATAATATTTGTATTACAAATAAATGCCTTTACCTGAGCTGTTCCCATTGTGGAAAGAACATGCTTGCAATTCTCAGCAGCATTATATAATTTCCTTTTAGATCGCTTGCTCTCCAGAGGGTCACCCTTATATTTCCTGTAGTATAAGAGACAAATTTTAGCAATCCATAACGTAATTGTTAAAAGGATATCCACTGAAAGGCTTATATATATATTTCATTCTTTTCAATACCATTTCCACAAACCTTTTACAAAATATATACAATTTTCAATACATAAATTCATTCTAGTAACTACATAAAAAAACTCAAATCTTTAAAACCCTGTGATTGATACTAAACACTTTAGAACTCTGACTTACGCATAAAATTCCTTTGCAAAGTGCTGCACAAGTAAATCTGTTAGGGAATCCCCTGCAACAGAGGAAGATGTGATCGACTCTTTCATGCTTACTAATCCTCCAGCAATTTCAATCACAGAACCTACTATGGTTGTGCCTCCACAGTGTAGCACAACAACTTGTCTGGTAAAGAAGATAAGTTTGATAAGCAACTGTTCCTTAAGAGACTGTAACGGACATCACGTAACATATAAATAACTGTTGCAGTAGTACACAAAAATATGTATTAAAAAATCTCTAATATATGCACCCAAATAATCATAAGAAAGAAATATCAGGGGCATGAATACAATATTCAACAAACCTGTTGGACATTGTTACTATGACATCACTCCTTTCAATTTATAAAATTCTGAAGTACACTTTGTTTTACACTTTTTAATATTTTAATCACTGATTTTCTAAATTCTCACAAGATAGTCTTTCAAACTACAAAAACAAACTGCACCTATTTTATAAGACCAAATTAATTTTTCAAAACTGATAACCATACAAACACACACACACACACACAAAAAAAAAAGATATACAAATGATAATAAGTAACAAATAAGTTGCAGCAAATATGTCAAAATGGTTGATGGTCAGGCCTAATTTGATCTTGCTGCATATTTCATGAAATACATGTAGCTATATCTATATATCTATCTTCACTCTTGAGCTGTTTTTTTCTGAATACAGTATATTAACTTTATGGCTTATAACCATTAAAAAAAAAAAAAAAAAAAAAAAAAAAAAAAAAAAAAAAAACTAATTCAGGTTTCCAAACTAAACTGCATATGACAGAATTTAATGTGAGTAAATGGGAACAAAAATGTAATTTTTTACCCCTAAAATCCTATACTTTAAACATCCTAAATGCCCATGCATACATCACTTAACCCACAAGCAACAGCACATTTATAAGCGTAAAATAATATTTTCCACGCAGCTTCAAAATTGGCGCATGGGTGAGTCCAGCAACCTGCAAATCAGAGCATGAACTCCTATCTGGGGTCACACTGGCAGGACTTTTCTGGGTGTCTCATATGTGGGACACCCATCCTGAGTGGGTTAAGGGGACCATCCCTGAGAATGGCCACCTTTCCCTACTCTATACATCATAAAAAATATCGGTTAGAGATAACTGATTGATTCTTTTTGCATGCTATAGAGTAAAGAATTGCGCTCCGTTATATATATAAATTTTAACTTTGCTCCCCCATTGGGGGGGGGGCACCCCCCAAAAAGTTCGAAAAAAATCGGTTTTTTTTTGGTATGTCTTCGGTACATCCCAACTATCAGAGCTCTTTACAGAATATTCCCCCAAAAATACTTGTGTTAGATCAACTCTAGCCTATAGCCATGTAAAAGGCCGAATTTTGAATTTCCTTTTTTTTTTTGGCTGGGGACAGCTTGACATAGAGAACTATTTTTGAATTCTTTTTTCAGCATTAAAATATTATTTTTTGATTAAGGCAAAAATTCAAAAATCGGCCTTTTACATGGCTATGGAACACCGAGGCTCTAGTGAAAGCAACAAACTGCATTTGGATCGCATGAAAATTACGTGAGTTGGGATGTACCGAAGATTCATAAAAAAATAGCCGAGCTACGGCGTTTTGTATTTGGCACCTTGCCAAAGTTCGTTATCTCTGTTATTTTTCTCTGAATCTAATGATATTATATAAAAAAAACTTATTTAGTGTACTTTGCAATGCAATGATTACCAAGTCAATAGGAATTTTCATGTTCAATAGGGACGCTATTCTGTAAAGGTATGTCACTTTTTTTTTTTTTTTTTCGTTGTTCATTAAAGTTGATATTTTCGTGTGAAAAGCTTAATAAATGCATTTTACCATAGAGACAACTAATCTAAACCAGATAAAAACCTTTTTTAAAAAAAATATTTTTTTTATTTTCCATTTTATTTTTTATTTATTTTTTATTTTTGAAGAAATGGGGAACTGTGGATGGCAACATTAGTACAAAATCATTCTAATTATAAAGTCCTGGCATGAATACAACATGGTGGTTCAATTTTGAGAATTTCAAAAGCATATGAATTTAGTACATTGAATTCGAGAACTTACGAAAGTCGTTGAATATTCCCCATGCCTCACACAGGGGGGGGGAGGGGGAGATGGTCACTGGGTGTTTATAATTTTCGAGGAGGATCATATGTACGTGAACGCACGCACATAAAGTTAAAAAGATTAATCATCATCATTTAGTAGGCCTACATTGACTTTCATATCTAAATAATAAAATTTATTAGTTATCCCTCTCATACCCATTTTCTTTGATAATTGTCAATATTAACAGATTGCAAAGGAGAACAAGTGTAAGTTTATGATTAGCCATTTGCACCCATTATCTTTACTAAGAAGTGCATAAAATCATGCAGACGCCTAGGTGTTGTGGGATATTTGCCAATTTATGGTGCCTAAGACTTACGGTAACGTCTAAACATATTCATTTTTATCGGGAATGCACGAAACGGATGCGATAGCTTTTTGAACGCCAGACGAAGACTACGCATACAACCGAGCTCAAAATTCCATATAGTTTTTATTTCAGAGCAGGTATTACTGAGTACTATCATCTTCAACATGAAATAATCTGTATCTCGCTTATACATCCGAAGTTTAAAAATCCGACATTTAGGTAACATTCGTATTGAATTGGTCTTTACAACGGTAACTACCAATTTCAAATCAATTCAAATTGCCCCCTGCTGTGATGTACCGACCGTTGAGCGAAATGTAACGGAAATATTTCAATCCTTCCTTATAAGGCTATTTTTAAACATTAGTGCTTCGTATGTGATATACGTATATATTACCACGTAAACTAAAACATATTACCAGGGAGTCTCGATCAAAGCATATTTTGTGTGTAAAAGGACACAAAACATACATTTTTTTTAGATATATTTCACAAAATATTTCGTCATAAATCACGGTGATATAATTTTTCCTGATATTGGTATAAAAGTGTTCCTTGAACATTCACGAACTCATATCTATGCGCAATGTCATAATTAAATGCCTTATGCACGATTGCCGCAAGCAAAAGTCCACATAGGTGTACCTGGGCGCTCAATAGCGACGTACCTCTCCGGGTGCTGAGTGACTCGCACGCCGGCTGCAAGACGAGCCATAGCAGGCGGTTAATACTCGTTTGGTAGTTTCCTCATCCATGTACCTATACTACACGCTAACAATCTTAATTTAACCCCCTCCACCCCCCTCTCTCAGGGACGGTCCCCTTAAAGTGTTTTAAGCAGGGGAGCACTTGGGCAAGAATTCTCGCCGATAGGCCATGTTTGACTCTAAATCATTGACGAAATTAGTAAACATAATCGGCGCCAACACTGATCCTTGAGGCATTCCGCTAGTTACTCGTCGCTATGTAGAATGCTTCCCTGAAATTACTGTGGTCATCTGTCTTTCATCCATGCGAGTAGTTTGCCTTTCACTCCACCTAGGTGCTCTAATTTCCATAGTAGTCTTCTATGAGACACCTTATCAAAAGCCTTTTAAAGTCTAAGTACACACAATCCACCCAGCCATCTCTTTCTTGTAATACTTCAGATAATGAAATTCTTTATTTGATATCATTTCGTGTTTTTCAAGCATTTCAACCAATTGCTTCCTAATTATTCTTCCTAGCAGTTTGCATACTACACTAGTTAATGAAACTGGTCTATAATTTAGTGGGTTTTGTTTGTCGCCGCTCTTATATAAGGGGTAACATTTGCGAATTTCCAACTTTTTGGTAGTTTACCTTGTCTTAGTGAATTTTGAAATATTAACAATAAAGGAGTACACAGCTCTTCGACACATTCCCTAAGAACCCAGTTAGAAATTTCATCTGGTCCCTCTGCTTTGGTCTTGTCTAATCCTTTTAGCAGATCTTTTATTTCGTTCTTTTTGAGGGTGATATTTTCGATGTTCTTTACGTCTGTACGGGTATTTGCCATATCAAAGCATGGATCCTGAACAAACACTGACTGAAATTTCTCATTTAGGATTTCACACATTTCTTCCTCCTTAGAATATATAATGTTATTGTCTTTGATAGCGCTAATTTGATCCCTACTTTTAGTTTTACTATTTATGTAGTTAAAGAAGAGTTTTGGTTGACTTGTGCATTTGTTTATTATGTCCTTTTCAAAGTCTAATTTCGCCTCTCTCATGGTTTGGGTATACTCATTTCTTCCTACTTTATATCTTTCATATGCTGCCTGAGATCTATGCCTTCTGAATCTTTTCCAAAGGAGATGCTTTTTTCCCTCATTTTCTTGCATTTGTCGTTGAACCATTTTTGGCCATTTCTTGCTTCAATTTTGAATTTGGGTATGAATTTTTCCACTCCTTTTTTATAGATCTCACAAAATTTTGCATACTGAACATCAAGGTTCTCATCATCCAGAAGTGTTTCCCAGTTTATGTTATCAAAGAATCTTTAAGGCTTCTATAATCACCTCTTTTGTAATTGTACTTTCTTTCTTTGCTTACGATGAGTTTTTCCTGTAGCAGACAGTATTTTAGTTTAATCACTACATGGTCGCTTTTTCCTAAAGGAGGACAGTATTCGATATCCTTAATATCGTCGTTATGCTTTGTAAATATTAGGTCAAGCATAGACGGCCTATCTAGCCCTCTTATCCTGGTATGATCTGTTACATTCTGGAAAAGGCAATGCTCATTTATGACATCTAGTAATTTAGCATTCCAAGAATCTGATTGTGCTCTAGGATCGAACTTTCCCAGTCGATTTTGCTATTAAAGTCCCCTGTAATAAGAATTTCTGTTGAATTGGTTTCCGAAAGTTGTAGCACTTCTTCCAGGCTCTTTATTGTCTCTTGAATTAGTTTCTGGTAATTTTCTAGTGACCACGCCGATGTTTGAGGTGGCATGTATACCGTGGTTATTATTATGTTTACCCCATTTGTTTCTACCTCAATTACCTTCATTTCCACTATGGGGTCCTGATTAATTTCTAACTCCTTTATAATAATTCCTTTCTTTGTTAATATTGCTACCCCCCTCCATTTCCATCTGCCCTATCTTTTCTCCAAATATTATAGTCTTTAAGCCCTAATGTTACATCGCCTGTGGAGGGGTCCAGTTTGGTTTCAGTGATGCATATTACATCCGGTTTATCCATATCAATTATTGTCTCTAGTTCAAGCAACTTCGAAGATAGACCATCAATATTTGTGTAAACTATTTCTATATAATCTTTAGGTATTAAATTTGGTTGCAGGGTTAATGTTTGTCTGCCTCTACATTTTGGTTCCGATAGTATATTTGCTTTGCTTGGAGACC